CCCTCCATTCTTCGTAGGACATGGAAAGGCTATTCTGTAAAGAAAGGCCCCAATTATGCTCCCAAAAGGAAGAATTTCGCCACTGACTTGACTCGAGAAAATCTACAAAAGTGTGTACCTTTTCTCCCGTTTTCAACTTATTGTTGACATTGTTGGCATAGTGCAAAATAAGATAAGAAATTGGTACTCACATGCAGCTGGAAAGAGTTAGAGTTCAAGGAATATAACTACAATGCTAAGGGTTTGCCTGTTGATGCTGGGCATCTCCACCCCCTTCTTAAGGTACTCAACCGTAAAACAATTTGCTGAAAGCCTGTACTTCAAGCTCGGCGTGTCTTAGTGATTTTTATAACTCACACTGAAATATATTTTACTTGATGGTTACCTTTTCTGTTGCAAAAAAATTGGAGTAACCATTGTTTTTCATAGCCTATTAACTTATTATTATTATTATTCTTGTGTGTTTCAGGTGCGGAAGCAGTTCAAAGACATATTTTGTCAGATGGGGTGAGACTTTTACAATGTTATTACTAGTATTACTCCATTTTTTCTGCTACCGGGGAATAATGATTTTCAGCATTATGTGGTCACAGGTTTGAAGAGATGCCAACAAACAACTTTGTAGAGAGCAGGTATCATATCAGTTAGATTTGTAAATCTCTTTTGATACTACATAGCAAGGCATCTCAATATCTAAAGCAAATTTATCAACCTTTTCACAATCCATCTGGTTGTTCAGAAATGATGTTTGGATTTCTTAAGCTTTTCGTGAAGAAAATCGGAATTCTCTTTTCTGTTCATTGATTGATCTCAACCTTTTCCTCTGCTCTGTAGCTTCTGGAATTTCGATGCATTGTTCCAGCCACAGCAACACCCGGCTCGTGACTCTCATGACACCTTCTTTCTAAAAGGTTCAATGCTTGAATCCTCAGCGACTGAGTTTGTCTTTTGGACAACTCTCTCTCTCTCTCTCTCTCTCTCTGCTGCTTTATGACATCTCAGTGACATTCTAGCTGTTAATCGTAATATGTAAATATTTGATTGTAGCTCCTTCAACGACAAGGGAATTACCAGAAGATTATGTTGAAAGGGTGAAACAAGTTCACGAGTCTGGTGGATATGGATCGAGAGGGTAACAACTTGTTTTGATACATACTGCCTCTGATAGTAATCAACTAATTTTTTAACCTTCCGTCATGGTCTTTTCCATTGTACAGGTACAATTATGATTGGAAAAGAGAGGAAGCAAACAAAAATCTTCTCCGTACCCACACAACGGCGGTCTCGTCTAGGATGCTTTATGCACTCGCAAAGGTGTGACTTGATTTGACTTTTCCCTTCCAATTCTCAATCCATTCATCTGTCTAAGTCATTCCTTATTCTTGGTTTATAATTACTGATGAATACCTAGAGTGAGGGTTGGAATCAAGGCTTTGTTTGTTTTCTCCGTACCCATATATGGTTTCCCGACCAGAGCATCATTTCATGTCTATGCGCATATATTCCTAAGAATCCTGAAGCATGTAGACTTCTTAAAATTTCGTGCTTTCTGAGTAACTGTTGGCTAGGAATTTACAAACTGTGCAACATTGTTCCTGTAGTATACTCATTTTATCGCTTACTGTAGGAACCTTTCGCTCCCAAGAAGTACTTTTCTATAGACCGTGTCTTCAGAAACGAGGCTGTTGACCGAACCCATCTGGCAGAGTTCCATCAGATTGAAGGTAATTGCGTTAGCTAATGACTTGTCACAGTTTGAGAATTTCATAGTCAGAATCATGAACATGCACCAAAATTTCCTTTTAAAAAGTCTCTCTTCTCTTTTGCTCAGGTTTAATCTGTGATCGTGGTCTTACACTGGGTGATCTCATTGGTGTATTACAAGACTTCTTCTCACGATTAGGTAAGATTCTTTATTGCTTCCGCTTGCTCATATTTCGATGCTTCAAAGCCGCTTACGAGAAAACAAAGGCTTATGCGATAAATGCTTTTACAGGGATGTCCAAGCTGCGTTTCAAGCCTGCCTACAACCCTTACACGGAACCAAGCATGGAGATTTTCAGGTAAATTCGGACAAAACGCCACCTCGAAAAATCCAACAGAAAAACAGACAGTAACAGATATTGTCTGCTACTTTCTTACCAGCTACCATGAAGGACTAGGGAAATGGGTAGAGATTGGAAACTCTGGCATGTTCCGACCCGAAATGCTACAACCAATGGGTCTCCCAGAGGATGTTCGAGTCATTGCATGGGGTCTTTCTCTTGAAAGGTACAAACCGAAGATGATGAATAATAGACTTTCAGGGACATATTTTGAATACCAACGACATTGCTGATCATTTCTGATTTTGTTTACTTAAACAGACCAACAATGATCTTATACGGCATTGACAACATCCGCGATCTCTTTGGACACAAGGTACTAGATCTTACTTCTTGTTGATACGACAACATCTCTGACGGAGTAATAGTTCTCAGTTCTCATCGTGTTATTGTTATTCGCTTACACAGGTGGATCTTGATCTTATTAAACGGAATCCGATCTGTCGCATTGGAATCGAATGAGATTGATTTGGATTCTGCATTTGTGACGGTTTCCTTGATTCGGTTTTGGTGTGGGATCAAACTTATCTGCAAGACAAGCATAGTTCTATACACAATCTATCTATGATCCTGCTATTTTAGACTTGTATATCCATTGAAGATTATATTCACAATCAATTGAAGATTATATTCACTTACCGTTTTCATAATAATCCATTAAAGAATGAAGATTCTCGTTTGACATGTATGTCTTTTATTTACTTGTTCTTCTCTTTGAACAAGATTTATAGTTTCCGATTTGCTGAGGTTTTTTGAAAACAAAACAGAATATAACAATGATTTCTCAGATACTAGTATTTTCCAAAACCTATGTTTGGAATAATTTGATGATGATGATGAAATATAGCTTAATTTTTCTGGCTCTTGCACATTAGTCCTTCCTTGATAATTATATGCAACGGATCATCTTTAAACTCATTATAAGTTATACTAATCTAAGGTAAAAGTTAAAACACGTGTACGTAATATTATTATTTCATAAGAGCAAAACTGTTGCTAGTGAATGTTAAGTCTTGTTAATTTATTCTTTGTTGTCATACTTATGGAATATTATCTTAACACTGTTGTTAGTGAATCGTACTGATCATTTTTGGAACTTGTTCTCAGGTAGTAATGTTATCTGCTGATATGGGTTGGTTTTGTGTATCTCGTGGGTGTCATCTAATGGTTATAGTAGTACACATTAAAGGTTATAATGTATATCGAGTGTTTCATGTTCTGGTTTTGTTATGACAATGACATGTACACCTTTAAAACTCATAGTAATGAGTTGCCTTTTTCTCTTCTTTTTGGGGCTTCTATGTTTAAATCTCTTGATAAAACGGTTCTATTATGTGAGACTTCTGCAGAGTTTTCATGGTGAAATGCAGCTAGGTAGTTCATGTTGTATTCGGTTCTTCTTTTGTTCTTTTGTTTTATCTTTGGTTCTATAAAACTGCATATGTTTCTCTTCTTTTGTTTTGTGTTTGGTCTTCTTTTCAATTTCATTTCAAGCTGTTTATGTGTTCTTGAGCAGAAACACTAAAGTAACAAGAGAGGCTTCAATTAAACAACGGATTTTTCTCACTAATGGAAGGTATGACTCTAATTAAGAGCATCTCCAATGCAATCTTCAAATATTGATCCCAACCTTCAAAACTTCAAATTTTGAACTTCAGCATACTTGTCGATCTTCATTTTGAGTTGTTGTTTGAGCTTTCACTATTCAAAACAACAGCTATCTTATTTTTATATAAATATTTACACAAATCATAATACTGTATTTCTTCTTAGTGAAAATATTGTTGAATTTGATCTTGATGCAGGAACCACCGGTGAGCACAAGAAAAATGCTGACACAACTATACGTCTGAACAAATTTATCTCTTAGAAAGTAGATCCAAGAGTGTAAAGACTTGTGGAAGCTACTTGTTTCAAGATTTTTTTTAAAGATTGAAGAAGCTTATCATAAGCAAAATCTGCCACTTCTTACGACGTTGCTGTCATTCTTTGATTCAAACCACAAGGCTTTTTGTTTTCGGACAGAGAATGAGATTTCCATTGTTGATTTTGGCCTCCAAAATGTTCTATATATTAAAGGATTGTTTGTTAAGAGTATTACAAACTCTCTTTGAAAATATGCCAAAGACATTAAAGAACAGGATTTAGAGCCTTACTTTATAGCTTTATCTCCCGTTTCTATTGGAAACGGTCGTTATCCCGAACAAAACCAAAGGTATTTCTCCCATATTTCTACCACTCCTACAAAAAGATGAGGTCGACAAGTATGCTGGGGGGCAGCACTGTTGGTTTTATTGTTAAGTAATAAAACCACAGCTCTAAACGGTTTTTCTTATACTTTGCAAGAAAAACAAAAACTAATTACTTTAATTGTGTATATAATGTTAATTAACAATTACTGTTCTTTATTTTTTTATATAGGTATTTGCATTGAAGACAAAAAAAAATAACATCACCTTATAGTTAAAGAACATAAAAGTAACTTAACGTTACAGTTTTTGACAAAAATGGATTTTAATATAATCATCGAGACCCTTTGGCCCAAAAAAAAGTTTCTATAAGCTATTATAGCCCTGATTTTTCGAAGTAGAATGAAGCTTTCTTCTATCAGATTTGTAGAGTGCCTTCATATATGTAAAGCTAGCTAATGTAGCCTTGATGCATTGAATTCTTATGTAATGGAAAACTTTACACATCTTGTGCAAAAGAAAGAACATATTTTCATGTGGGTAATAATTTCTTCAATTGCATAGAGTTCACCATAAAAAATCTCAAAATTTCACCAAAAGTAACAATAACTAAATGTAGCAAAACTCTGACCAAATAAAATCCAAATAAATTATCTTACCAAATAGAAACATATAATCAGAAAATTAGAAAAATGGTATGTTTAGATGTTACCATAAATTTGTAAAACTATCCATTTAAATTGGTGACGAGATATATGAATTGAAGATTATATTCACTTACCCTTTATACAATTAAAGAATGAAGATTCTCGTTTTAGTATTTATTAAGACAGACTAATTCACACACATTCGTTTGGTTATAATTATGTCTTAAATGTACAGTTCGTGGCTATGCACAGCTTTCATGGTACGAACTATTGCTTAAGATTATTCGTCCTCTTCTTCCGGAGAGTCGGAGAACTCAATCTCCTCATTGGACGGCAGAGAATCCTCAGAGTCAAGACCAGCTTCGAATCTCTCTCTTCTCTCCACTTTCTCTCTCACTCTCCTCTCAAACTCTTCGTCCGTACAGGCCAACATGTGCCTGAGCTTGAAGTTTACTCTGTTCTCAACCATAATGGTGTGCCTTGGGATTATCCGACGCTCCAGCGAGTAGCTAAAGAATCTGTCACAGTAATAATACACAACTTCATGATTACTTGCTTTCAAGGTGTTGTTGTATCGTTTCATGTAAAGTTCCTCTCTGTTACCTGGGAAACTCAATAAGATCTTGAAGCGGACGGATCATTGTTCTTCGCAAGTAACGGTACTTTGGACGCAGGATATCAACGTTATATCTAAGCAGCATCGGGAAGTCAGCAATCATTTCGCCTAGTTGATCAATGCGGATTCCTAATGATGCATAGTATCTCATGTTGAGTTCTAGCTTCGTCCCTATGCTGCATCCAAGGAGAGCTGGATCCAATGCAATAACTTTGCCGATATCCTTCTGGCTTACTCCGGCTCTGGTTAACAGAAAAATCACCTGCACGACCCAACTTACATGGTGGTATCAGAAGAAGATTCTGGACTCATCATATGCTATGATTAACATAACATTACATGTTTGGTCTTTAAAAGAAGTAGGACTAACCACAGGTCGGATTTTCTTGTAGAGACTGTATGTTAGTAATGAAGGAAACTTTACTAACATGTTTCCAATGGCCTCATTAGGGATACCCATGTCCTGGAAAAATCTCACCTTTAAAAACCACAAGAGAATCTGAGTTAGTGGAATCTGCTGCGTCTAATAAGGAGGGAGTTCATAGTATATTAGACGAATTTCAAATACCTTTGGTGCGATTGACTTCTCCAAATCAATGCAGTAAAGAATCGGTTTCACGACAAGGATTCTTTTCATTCCTTCTTTGGAGATTCCAAGGTAGTAGAAATATTTGATTAGAGGCTTCCATCTTTCTTCGATACTGCATCCCATGAGGTGTGGCTTGAATGCTAATAGTCTCCCAACATCCTCTGTGCTAAGCCCAAACTCTTTCAGGTAACTGATCTGGATTAAGGCAAGCAACACATTCATGAACTCGAAAAGACTGTTCCTAACAATGATGGATCAACATATACATCTAGCTCTTCAGTACCTTTCTCTCCATCTCTTCGAACGAAAAGAACCCGAGTATCTTTGGATAATCGAAGACCATTGTGCCAAAGTCATTCTGATTCATACCCATTTTCAAGAAGAAACCAACACGGCTTTTGACTTCTTCCATGCTGAAAGAGAGCAACTCGGGACATCGGCCAACCACAAATCCCATCCAATCCCTCCTCACACCGTTGCTCTCTAGATACTCAACAATCTCGTCGAGTTCTTCACGGCTTCGTTGCAAGAGGTTGCCCCCGGATCTCAAGAACGCAACTCCAATGAATTCACCCTTCACATGAATGGTTTTGAGCCACTCGATCATGATTCTTATGGAGTCAAGATTTCCTTTAGACATGCATATGATCTTCCCAATTCTATTATATGAAAACTCATGGTGCTTCAACCACCTGCACGGTTCAATATCATTATGGATAAAATTCTAATTTTAACAGACCCCTAAAATCAAGCAAACGATATTGCAAAATTCAACTCAAGAACCCATTAACTTGATCCACTTCGCTGCAAAAAAAGATAAAACAATTCTGGCATAGACTTTCATTTTTCGACTTTCCTCTGAAGTTCAGTTTTCGATATGATCAATCATAGAGAAAGTCAATATTTTTTCTTCATAGACAAACCATCGAACACCTTATGGGCACTAATGACACCTTATGGGTAGAAGAAGCTATGGAAGTAGAAGCTTGACCTTACAAGAGGAACGAAATTGGAGTCCTCTATGACCGTCCTGGCGCGAAGGTTAAACCTGGAATCTGAATATTCCGGCATCCGCTTCAACGCCGCAGCTTCGATCATCACATGATCAACGAAATCACCAAGACGATCAGTCACATTAGTCGCGTAAGTGATTCCAAATCTACCTTTCCTCACTAAGGATTCTTTGATAATCTCCTTCGTCACTTTCCGCCTGATCTCCAGCGCCTTAGCAATCATCTCCCTCTCGCTCGCACCGTCGTCATCGCCATCAGAACCGAGAAATTTGCGGAGCGAAGGAAGCGAGGAGGCAACATCAACATCGGAGGCAGATTGTGCGTAGATTGAGCCGGGGAACTGTGGAGTTCTTCTGGTTACGAGGGAGAGCTCGAGCAGCTTCGATCGGTCTTCACCTTCTACATCTCGCCGCGGCGGAACGAAGGTGTCGGGGGATTCGTTAGTGTTTTTATCGAGCTTCAGGTCTCGATTATGGCGTACAAACAGAGAGAGTGATCTCACATTGTGCCGGCGACGGATTACTGTATCTTGCGATTCGTCGGGATGGTCCTGACGGCGGAGAGAGGAGGAGACGAGGGAAAACGTTGAGGTATAGCTTACGTTGCAGTGGAGAAGCATGGAGGAAAGAGTGATGGTGGAGGAGACAAAGAGAGTAGAGCAGCTCGGAGAAATTAAATTGAGAAAGATTACAGAGAACGATGAAGAAATCAAAGAGAGATAAAAAGCAACAACTTGGAGCAATCTATAGAATAAATATTAGCTAAAACTTATTAACAACAAGTGGTTCCATGGTCTAGCGGTTAGGACATTAGACTCTGAATCTAGTAACCCGAGTTCAATTCTCGGTGGAACCTTGTTTTTTATTGTATTTTACGTTTTGGGTTGGGCCTTCTTTCAAAATTTCAAAGCCTAAATATAGTGGGTCTTAACTCAAATTTGTTTTTCTTTATTTTCTTGTAACGATAACCAGAAATATTAAGAGTTCTCAATTTGCACTCAGTAAATCAACACAACAACAATAACTCATAAGTTTCTCCATAGCTCAGCATTTTCAAGTTTTTAGGAGATGACACTTTAACAAAAAGAAAAATAACACCAATAAAAACATTTCATTAATCAAGTCATCAATATATTTAACTTTTAAATTTAAATCCATTAAAAACCCAAATATTTTTTATTGTTAATTTTAGTTTTATTTTTTGGTTAAGCCAAGCCCAAATAATAAATAACAGCAAATAAAAAAATTGTTTTATTTTTTTGCCAAACCCAAATAATAAATAACAACAAATAATAAAATTAAATATTTGTTTTATATTTTTACCAAACCGAAACTCAAATAATAAATAACAGAAAAAAAAATTATACCTATGTGTTTGCTTGATAGATATGCATATGATTGAAGAAAGTGTAGACTTATCATCAACTATGCTTCCATAACAACAATGCAAAAAACGTTATGTTATAAGAAGCTCACACATCAGCAAAAATTTGAACCAATAAAAACATAACAATAATACATATTATTAACACACTAATAAAATCAATTTACTATTTTGCTGACCCATTAAAAAACCCAAAGTTTACAAAAAAAATGGAAGGCGAAAGCAAATAAGGAGAAACTCAGACCACCACAGCTTGGAGATTCGCATTTCCACTGGTTACCGAGAACAAATTTTCTTGGGTTTGGCGGGAATAGAGAACTTCTTGGTTTTGGTAGAAAAATGTGATTTTCAGTTTTGGTAGGAAAACATAGTTTCTCGATTATGGCAGAAAAAAACGAATTCTCGGGTTTGGCGGAAAAAAGGTGAATTTTTGGTTTTGGTGAGAAATAAAAAAAAATTGATTTTGACGAGAACATGCGAGGGAAATGCAACTTTTCAATTTTGACGAAAAATACAATTTCTCGGTTTTGATAGAAAATGCAAATTTTCGGCTTTTGATTGATAATGTAATTTCTTGATTTTTGCGAAAATTTGTAATTTGACAATTTTGGCAGAAAATGCAATTTTTCGGGTTGATAGAAAAGCAAAATTTCTCGATTTTGGTAGGAATAAACAATTTCTTGGTTTTGATGGGAAATGCAAATTTTCAGTTTGTGACATATAATTTGATTTTTTTTTGTTTTCGAGGGAAAATATGATTTCTTAGTTTTTGCGGGAAACGCAATTTCTCATGAGATAATACAATTTTTGATTTTCGTAGAAAATTGTAGTTTATCGGTTTTGGTAGGAAGACATGATTCTTGATTTAACGAGGAAAATAATTTTTTCTTGTTTTGGTGGGAATAGACGATTTTTGCGGAAAAATATCTTTTTGGTTTTGACAGGAAAATACTATTTTTTTTGTTTTTGCAGGAAGATGAAATTTTTTGGTTTTGGTGAAAAAGCTTGATTTCTCTGTTTTGACGGGAAAACACAGGTTCTCGCGGGAAAATGTGATTTTTTTTTTGTTTTTGAGGAAAAATGTAATTTCTTTGTTTTGGTAGGAAAATGAAATTTCAGCTTGACGAGAAAATAATTTTTTTTGGTTTTGGCGGAAATAGACGATTTCTCAGTTTTGTGGGAAAATATATTTTTCTTGTTTTGTCGGAAAATACAATTTCTCAGTTTTTGTAAAATGATAAAATTTCTCTGTGCTAATTTTCAAAGTTACAATATGTTTATTGTAACCAAAATTGAGTTATTTAACTTCAACTAAATTGATATTTCAACAGTTCAAATAGAACTTTCTATTTAGTTCTAAAGTAATAGTAATGATTTTGATATGAATGTTATTGATTATAGTTTGGTAGTTTTGGAAACATATGTCTCTAATAAATATTTGATAAACAAATAAATTTTATAGTTTAAAATAATCATATTAATTAATATTTTTTTTAAATGGCAATTTGCATTATATAATTTCAAAAGAGGATCAAATAGCAATTTAGTAGAGAAAATAAATTACATTTATCATTAGCATGAAGGTACTTAAAAATGTATTGTTTTATTCTTACATATACATTTATAGATAGTTAGCTAAACAAATTTGATAGTAGATTATAATTTTAAAAAATTAAAAAATTAATGATATATAATGTTTATTCAGATTTAAAACATATAAATACATAACTTAAGCTAATAAAAAATAAATATAATACTCATTTACATTATAGAAATAATTTTATTATATTAAAAATATATACAAATCTAGAAAAATATCCCGCAGCGTAGCGCGGTTAAATACCTAGTATAAGCAAATCAAATATAATATCCACGCAAATGTTTCTAGACCCCATATATATGAGAAATTTCACTTATTTAAGTTTTTTTTTTATCATTTTACACAAAAAGAAATTAAAACTTTCTCGCTGAAAATATCAAAAAATATACTTCAAATCTCTTCTTGAAACTCTTAATAAAATTTAATGATTGACACTGGTTTCTAAAGTAGGTGTACGTACGTACGCTTAAGAGTTCTCAGTTTTGCACTCAGAGTAAATATAAGCAAATCAAATATGATATCCACGCAAATGTTTCTAGACCCCTATATATATGAGAAATTTCACTTATTTAAGTTTTTTTTTTATCATTTTACAAAAAAAAAGAAATCAAAACTTTCTCGCTGAAAATATCAAAAAATATACTCCAAATCTTTTCTTGAAACTCTTAATAAAATTTAATGATTGACACTGATTTCTAAAATAGGTGTACGTACGTACGCTTAAGAGTTCTCAATTTTGCACTCAGTAAATATAAGCAAATCAAATATAATATCCACGCAAATGTTTCTAGACCCCCATATATATGAGAAATTTCACTTATTTAAGTTTTTTTTTTATCGTTTTACAAAAAAAAAAGAAATCAAAACTTTCTCGCTGAAAATTTCAAAAAAATATACTCCAATCTTTGCTTGAGACTCTTAATAAAATTTAATGATTGACACTGATTTCTAAAGTAGGTGTACGTACGTACGTACGCTTAAGTAGTTTCACTAGTTCCAAAACACAAACATCAATATTGATACCAAAAAAACATGTAAAGATTGAATTCAAATACTCCATGCATGGGAAAATTAGCATTTAAGACATGCATCATGCATGGGAAAATTAAAACTGAGAAAACTTAAAACCCTCTATAAATTAATTCAAACGTCTCTCAACTCTTACTAAGAAGCCTCTTTGTTCTCTACCTCGAGACCTTTGTTTGTTTCTTTTCAATGGCGTCAGGATATGGTGTTTTCAAGTGCTATATTCGCGGTCTTGACCGTGACACTAGTGAAGTAGATCTCCAGAGAGCCTTTTCTAAGTTTGGCAACGTTATGTATTCGAAAGTCCGTTATACGCCTTAAGATCGAACGGTTATATTGTCATTTAACGTTTTAGTATTAACTTTTGTTTGTTGGACTCTTTCTTACTAATGCGTATATATCTTTGTTTCAAATATGTCATACGCGATCGTGAGACTGGAATATCGAGGGGTTTTGGATTTGTTACTCTCGAGGACGAGAAATCTATGAGAGATGCCATTAAGGAAATGAACATCGCTGAGATCGATGGTTGCTGCAACAATGGTGTTCGTAAGGTATTTTGTGATCTTAAGTTCATTGCTGTTGAAGAGGCTTGGCCACGCAAACCCAGTTCAGAGGAATTTGCCTACACGTTTGCCATGATGGTTAGTTTAAAGATGAGGGCCGCAGGAATGTAAGAGTATCTTGGTTCTTTTAGAAGTTGCATGGAAGGTGGTGCTTTGAATCAAGTCTTGTAAATTTGTATTAACTTGGTTTTTTAGAAGTTATGTGATGTGACAAAGCTTGGACTATATATGACAAAGATACTTCACCTGGAAGTTCACGTCTGTTACAGTTTCATCTCTAATAAATATTCTGGTGTCATGATCCATTTATATGAGGACGTAACAAACTTTGATTTTGATTTACTTAAGAATCTGTAATTAAAACCATGTCTTATCCATGTAGATGTAAATCAACGAATTTATCTATAAACATCATGCGATCAAGTATCACAAAGATTAGTTTGTCATAGCAATGCAGTTTTGGTTTATTAGAAGAAATAAAACCACGTCTAATCCATGTTTAAAAGTGTTTAAATAATACGCATAAGAAAGTTAAACACCGGATGTGATACTATTTGACTGCAGAACTCACAGGTATCATCTCTCCCTCCCGGCAATGAAGTCGCTTTGGAGGAGCCGCTGCGTGATTGACGATAAGATATACGTGATTAGAGGTTGCAAAGATTGGGTTCGAAATGTTGGATCCCAAGAAAAAGATTTGGAGATTGATAGCCCAGACTCCTCCATACGTGGCGTAGTAAGTATGCGACATATGCTGCTATGGACAGCAAGATTTACGCTTAGGATGGTATGTTTTTTTTTGTTGCGTTTGATCCCAAAAAGGCCGATGTAAATCATCATGCGGCTATTGGAATGAATTGCAACATCTATCTGTGTGGCGTGAAGATTCTTGTGTGGTTGATGGTTAATTGTATACAGTTGATCTTACCCTTTACCATAAGCATCCTTTCGTGATGTATGATCAAAAATATAAGCCGTGGAAACCGGTGAGAGGGATCACTCTGTTTCCTGCTAACCTCTTCTAAGAGGAGGCGAAACTGGCATGTCACGGCAGGAAGCTGATGATTATGGCGGCTAATCAGATTCGTCTGTGGAATCCTCCTGCGGAAAAAGAAATCTGCTGCATACAAACCATATTAGTGAAACTTCACCCAAAAGATGAGTAACTAAAGATATATTTTAAATTACGTTTGATCCACTGTGTAAGCAATTTTATCTTTTGTACCGTTGGTGCACATGTAAACTGTGATATAATGTATAAGCAAGTTCACTTGTAAACATATACAATTAATCATACGCTTTATCATAATTATCCTATTGTTGTGTATGATTGGAAGAGGTTTGGAATCCAAGCCTAAAATTGCATATCTTGGTGGGAAGCTGATGATGTTGGCTGCTAATCGAAACCGCTGATGGAATATTTTTGTGAAAGATTTCTGTGAAATATATTTGTTACACAGATATTGTTTTGGAATTGTGTGAAGATGGTGAGATGTGGGGGAAGATTGAATCAGTCCAAGTTGTGCTTAGAACCAAGTCGCTGTCTTCAATTGAGTTTTATCGAGTTGTTACCTTCGGATTTAGGTATATTTCTGTACTTTGAATTGTTTGAGCTATGGTGCTTAGACCATCATTCGCTTAGTTGGACATATTTTCATGAACTTGCACGTGAATGATCTTAGATTACATCTAATGTGTTAAGCAGCTCATTAAGTAGAGTTGCTAAAAAGTTGTTAACAAGACGATTTCTTAAACTATATAAAAGGGTGTATATATACCATTATCTTAAACTTCACAAAATATCTTACCAAATTTGTTGAGATGCATCTTTTTCTTTTTAGCTATCTCTTGGGCTTTTGTGCACTTGCACTAACTGGTCTCAAGTTCTTCATGTTTGCTTTTAATATATGAAAACTTGGTCCAGAGATTTCTGAATCTTTTAACACGAGAATTCAAAAGAGTTTCCATCAGTTAAATTAAATTACCAGGTTATTATAAGACCTACATGAAACAAACAACAAGAGAGATAGATAGAGAGATTCAGACATATTCCTATGTGAAAGACTTTGATTTACTCATGAATTTGGTTAAACTTTGTAAAAAACCTCTAGGAGAGGATGTTGTGGAAGATCGATTATGTGAAGAAGAAGAAGAATTTATAGATTTTTTTTATGAAAAATATGATTAACTGTATTATTTATAAAGTTTCGAAAAACCAATTAAAAACATATGGTGGGGGGAAGGGATTATATGAAATTACAATTTCTCTTATAATCATTAAAGTTTCACATCGATTTCTTTTCCATCCAACTAATCAACCATCGAAATGATTTATCAGTTTCAATTATTTGTCTTATTAGTGAACGAAAAATGATACAACATCTGAGCAACTTCAAAAGACTGTTACTATAAGCATTTCATTGTCTTTATTTTTTTTATATTTCTTTTTCCTAATTTGAAAACTGCAAAATATGAGTACAATTTTGCAATGAAAATAGAAACCAATCTTTTCTTCAACAAGCACAAATATCATGAGAGTAATCTTGGCCACGATCATCATCATCATCGATGGAGTTAGAGGATCCTTGGTTACTTGAGACTGCGTGATCATTACTTCTCATATCGTTTAGCTTCTTCCGGTTCAATAAGATGCGTCCTCCCTCTTTCATTTCTCTCTGTTATCGTCTCTGCTTGAAGTTCTTTAGAATTTATAATTTTGTTGTAAAGTACAATTTATTTTGAGCAATTAATTGATATTTCTTCAGACAGAACAAAACTTGCAAACTATATATAAAGATGAAATTTAACAAGTTTCGTTAAAATTTTGTATTCATAATCAATAGTGCATTTCATAAGCAAATCCCTTTGAATTGTTGTGGTAGGTAAAAAAAATAATTATTAAGATACTTTCCAATAAAAGTTAATTTAGGAGAAATGATTTTCACATTTCACTGGTACCGAAAAATCGAGTATGTAGAAAGTTTAGGGATTAGGGAAAACTAGTTCCAAAAGAGAAGACGCTTGTTTCTAAAAGTTTGAGATTCGATAGCATTTATGCCACATGCATAAATCGAAAACATCTTAACGTCTCACGTTTTCTATAAATTGACGCGTCCTCTTCGTTATTTTCATAATCTATGTTATATCTCTCTCTTTCAAAAATGGCGTCCGAAGATGTTGAATTCAAGCTTTGTTCGCGGTTTGGAGAACGACATGGAGTATTATGAGCTTGAGGATGCGTTTTCGCAGTTCGGCGACGTTATAGAAACATATGTTGGTTTCTTTTGTCATTAATAAATCCAGTTAGGCGACGTATTTGATTTTTTTTTTATTATTCTGAATTTTGTCATTAAAATATTCTGGTGTTTTCATATCGTACCACAAATCTCATATATTGGATCATCACCCATTTATATGAGGTCGTAAACAGACTTTGATTAGTTTGTCATAGCAATGCAGTTTGGTTTATTAGAAGAAATGAAAACCACGTCTAATCCAAAATTAAAATTGGTTAAATTATATGCACATGTAAGTAAACCATCGAAGTTGATATGGCCGAGTTGGTCTAAGGCGCCAGATTAAGGTTCTGGTCCGAAAGGGCGTGGGTTCAAATCCCACTGTCAACATCAAATTTTTTATAATTATTTTTTTTAGAAAATGTACTTTTTTGCATTTATCTCGGCCCAATAATTCCGGGCCCAGTATCAGTCGTGTCAGTCAGAGCATGTGACTACAATTTGTGGGCCGAAGGGATAAAAATGTCATTTCGGATATCAGATATTTTCTCGCCCAAAGATATTTTTTCCTGGGAACAAGCGGAGAGAAAAATATCTTTTCTCTCTCGCATCGTCTTTTCCATTTGCGCAATAAACCAAAAAGCATCACGTGATGTGTCCCCAACCACCACCATTTTTAACCAAACCCTTAACCACAGTTAAACCAATTTTCAATTAAAATCGACCCTAACCCTAGAAAATATCTAACCTTGGTTCACACCCCAGCTCCCTATATAAATACATTCTTCGTCTCCCTCACTCATCACACACCTCTCCGTTCCTCTTCACTGTCACTCTAGATCTTCCTTTTTATCTCTTTCAATGGCGTCCGCAGATGTTGAGTACCGGTGCTTCGTTGGAGGTCTAGCATGGGCCACCGATGACCAGGCTCTTGAGACCGCTTTCTCTCAGTTCGGCGACGTTGTTGATTCCAAGGTCGGTTACACGCAGAGATCGGACATTCCGGGATTCCGATGATCTGATCCTCGACGGATCTGTTCCGATCTGTGTTTCTCTGTTACTTGATTCGAATTACTGTTACTATGTTCCCTCGTTCTTTGTTACTGTTACTTGTTTTTCCTAATCGGTACGTTCATCTTCCTGCTTCTATAAGCCCGGAGATCGATCGATTTTTGATATATTTTTTTTTGAAATTTGGTTAACGCATTTTTTTTTATTAATTCATTTGTGGATTATGTTTGCTGAATCTGTTTCTGTTTTTATTTTTGGTCAACAGATCATCAACGATCGTGAGACTGGAAGATCAAGGGGATTCGGATTCGTCACTTTCAAGGACGAGAAATCCATGAAAGACGCCATTGAGGGAATGAACGGACAGGAGCTCGATGGTCGCAGTATCACTGTTAACGAGGCTCAGTCACGAGGAAGCGGTGGCGGAGGCGGCCGTGGTGGAGGTGGCGGTGGATACCGCAGCGGCGGTGGAGGATACGGAGGCGGTGGCGGCTACTCTGGTGGCGGCGGAGGAAGACGCGAGGGAGGTGGTGGTTACTCCGGTGGTGGAGGTGGTTACTCCTCAAGAGGAGGTGGTGGCAGCGGATACGGTGGCAGACGCGAGGGTGGTGGAGGATACGGAGGTGGTGAAGGTGGCAACTATGGAGGAGGCGGCGGTGGTGGCTGGTAATTAGATTAGGTTGAGATGTGATCGGCCCTTATCTGCTTCTGGTTGTGTGTGTTGTCTTTGGATTCTGTTTTCTGGTTCTGCTATTTTGGATGTGACAGTTCGTGATTAGGTATCTGATATCTGGAAACGTAATGTTAAATCAAGTTTCGTTTTCTTAATTCTTCGTTGCCAAATTTCTTCGCCAATCGATGATAATTAACCAAGTAAATCGTCTAAAATCATTATATTAGGCTTTCATATATTCGCGAATGCTCTTTAATGGGCCTGCTATTTGCAACTGTTAACAAATCAAAGTTAAATCTATAATATACAAAAACTTTAGTCCACAATAACAAATTTAAATCTATAATATACAAAAACTCTAGTCCACAATAACAGAGATTAAAGAATTTAGTCTCTAACTAAAGAGGTCAACGATACTAATTAGTGAAAATAATGCGGCTTCTTTATTTCCCTCTTTTCTTTATCTTATTGTAGAGAAGAGCGGCCCGAAATGTTTCGGGCCCTACACTTTATTCCGTAAATTGGGAGGCTAAAGATTTGCAAATACCAATAAGCGTTGGAGTCAACGTAACAATAAGTCTTCATTAAAATTCTAACCAATGATATTTTGCAACAAGAGCTACAACGGCTAAATGTAGAAAGTGGTTCAATTTTATTTTGATAAATAAGAGAAGATGTCTCCGTGTACATTAAATAAAATAGTAGTATTTAAAACTGAAATACTTGTAAAAAAAGATTAAGTATTTTAAAATGTTAAATGTTACTACTTGTTTTTCCAATATATCTTGTTTTGTATAATCTAGGTTGTGTATTTTTTGCAAGAGAAAGAAAATAATCTCTGCATTCACTGAAAGAAATGAACAACCAAACTATTAGCTTGGTATAAAAAAGACTTATAACACTTGGTTAGTTGGTTTCGTAACAAGTGAAAGTGTATTAGTATTAATCTTGGAAACAAAATGTATTTGGGTCTAAATTATATATCTTTGGGCCACACACATGTCCAAGACGAGAGGGCCCATAGGCTATGTGAATCAATTAAACCGACGTCGTATGAATTCATAACCGCGCAATATATAAAAACTGTGCACACATGAAATTCCATCCTGATTCCGTTGTCAGTACTAAAAACTGAACAATATTGAACAATTTGTTCATCTAACTTTATTTGGCTCTATATTTTATGAACAAAGCTGTCTATTTTTTAGTTTAAAATTTGATACAAGAGAACAATATGAATTTAAACGGTAAGAGGAATTAACAGAATTATTAATATGAATGAAAAAAAAAAAAATTTGGTAAAGAAATCGTTTCATAAGAAATGAAACGCAGCTTGACATGAATACTAGTGAAACATGTATAGAGTTCACTGTACTATAATCATCCAAACATTGCAATTAATCTGATTTTACAAAAACGACATCTCACTCACGTTGTCAAATTTACGTTTGAATTTGTAGGACTGCCATGAATAAATATTATAAACATTTGTGGTCTTTGGTGTATAGTAGAAACTGAGGCTTGGCTGCAAATATATAAACAGAGAACAAAGTATTCTATAAACTTAAATGAATAGTTTTATGCATTGGATTGCTTTAAGCAGAAAATCAACAATAACAAAAAAAACAGTTTTTACTAATAAAAATCAATGAAAGCAACACAAAGAATACAGTTCTCTGCTGCTAATAATACATGTTTCCACTTACACTGTCTGAGATGAGTAAGAAGATTAGCATCAGTTGTTCAAAAGCAAAGATTTAACATTTGTTCCGGGTCTGTATATTCTCTTATTAACCAATGGAAAACCCTTGAGCATGGAGATTCTCCATTTTTCATAACTTCTTTTATTCAAAGATACCCAAGAAACAACAACAAAAAAACAAGTAAAAGCAAAGATCTCTACTGTTATAGGGTAATATGGCCGGTTTAGGACCAGGCTTGTGTTGGATACTTTTTCCCTCAAATGGGAATGCTCTATATGGATTCCTGGTGATAAAATGCCATTTCCTTCTTTTGTGTAAAGTTTGTCCGAATCCCAATTTGTAAAGGGATCATTCTTTTGGTGAATGATATTATATCTCACTCACTCACCACTAGGCTGAAAAATTCCTCAAGTCATGATATTTCAAACACATGAGCTACAGAAACTTCCATTATAGAGGAACAAGTGATTACTTCATGTTCGGGTTCTCCAAGTTGCAAAAGGAGCAACCACTTGCTGAGGAATCAGAATACTTACTTCTTGTTTTTTTTTTGGCTAGATTGGGGATAAGATTCCAATTTTCAACAGGAACTTTTGTAACAAAAAAAAAATAAAAATAAGTAAGCTTCTTCTTCTTTACATTCCTTTTCATTCAGATTCCTTGTAAGCTACTCTTGGTAAATTATCAGCAATGATCACTGGGGCTAGTATTAGTATCTACATCAAAAGATGTGAAAATCAAATATAGGAGATATTGGAATCAAACACTCAAATCTTTACTGATGTAACTATTCATAGTGAGAAAAGTAAGAAGCAGAAATATGCATGTTTCTCAAAAACAACCAAATGACCATTTTTGTGTTACCTTTCATAAACTCACAACAATCATCATTTTCTTACATCTAAAGAATTACCAAAACCTGAGAGATTGTAATATTTATTTTATCATTTTAATACCTAGGCAAGAGAGTCAGTTTGAAGGATAGTGACGAAGAGAATATCGGTAGTGCAATGTCTACTAGCAGAATTTCATGGCAACTTGCAAATTATTATTGTCTCTGGAATATATTGTTGTGACAAAGGCCTCATTGTTATTCAGATTCTTTCTCATAAGAAGTTTCGCCCCTACCATGAAACCAAACCATGCCATCAATTAGAAACATATCAAAACTAGAATCAATATAAACGTGGGATAGTTTGGATCACAAAACGAAAAGATATTATAAGGCCTTATATTGGCATACATCCAGATAGAGAGCAAGTTATAAAGTATCATGAGTCCTGTTCACTTAGAGGAATATCATCTTACTTTGCAGAGAGATTAATGTGATTTTGGACTAAAAAATCAACTGTAAACAAGAAAGATCCAAGAACTTAATAGCTTTACTTTACAAAATATGTAAAACAATAACTTAATATATACTTGAGGTCTTCTGATAACTAATCCGTTTCAATAGTGATAAGATATGAGTTTACTCTTCCAACTCCAATGGATCAAATATATTTTGAGTTAAAATCAAATAACAAGTGGATCATTTATGAACAAACCTGTGTTGCAAGAAAGGAAATCAGATCTTTAAAGATTGAAATAAACTATGAAACAAAATGCTCACTTTTTTTTTTTATAAAATCAAACAACAAGTGGACCATTTATGGATGTTTGTTTTTTTGCCAAGTATGTATACTCCTCTTGACCATTATTTGATGTGAACTTTTGTAGGTAATGAAACATTTTGGTCGACGTTAGCATCCTAATTTAGCTTCGGGACAATTATTTATTTGCCCATCCCAAACCTGGATTCTTGCCAAACTAGGTAATTAACTGATCATTTTGCTGATAACACGACAACAAAGTAACAAACCACTATTAATTATAGGTGGAATCTTTAATCATGGGCTCTCATAAAGAGTGGATATAGTTTCACCACCACCACCTACTGCAACAATAAGTTACAGCTTAAAGAAAGTTATAAAATCATAGCTGTGTAAATCTATGGTTCAATAATGCAAACACCAAAGAACAGAAAACAATTTGAATATCCCACCAAGAAAAGTGGTTATTTAACAAATTAACGACCAAGAATCCACATTATATAATGTATGACCAAGAAAAAAACAGAGTTGCCTAACTTCAAGAAGATATGGACCCAATAAACCAAGAAAAAAGAAGGTAGGTATACAATGTTGACCTTTTGTTTAACACAAAAATGCCTAATGAATTGTACGGACAAATCTATATACAGCTAAGATAAAGCTGAGGTAAAGCTCTCTGCCCCCACTTTACTTCAAGAGTTCTTCTTCTACTACTAGAGAATATATTAAAAGCTTATGGTGTACACATGACAAGCTCCACTTTTTGTTTTGTGGATACAAATTAATCCTCAAAATTAATGTTTCAAAAGACTTTTTTTGTAATAAGAAGAAATCTTAATAGTCAATGAAAATTATCTGTTAACAGAGACTTAACCCTAACTATAAACCAAGACTATGCTGTGACTATAGAGACCAGACTGTTCCAGGAAGTAAGTAGTAGATGACTAAATATCAAAGGTAGAGAGACTTTTGATCACCTAAACTAGTTCTTTTGACTACTACAAAGCTTAATCTAGATAGAATGACATCATAACAACAACACTAATTAGGAAAGAAAAGTAAACATATTAGTTATAACATTTATAGAAAAGAAAAAAAAAAGGTCTCTACCGAGCATCATATGCCAAATGTGGATGGAAAAAAAAAAGCAATTAAAAACGAAATCTTTGGAGAGTGATTAGTTTGGATCTTTGATACTGATCTCCACAAATTTTTTGCTCAATATTCTTCTTTTCTAGCTAGAGACAAAGACTTAAAATTCTCAATGTTTTGGCAAAGCAAATTATATATTTGCCAACTGGCACTAGACCCCACCTCAGTCTCTCCCTTTATAAAGAGCAAGCGACATCTGTGCAACATATCATTTCCTCATAATATCTTTTGCTTATTACACAAATGGCATCAAACACAATGTCTTCTTATGGTTCTGGCTCATGGACTGTTAAGCAGAACAAAGCCTTTGAGCGTGCTCTAGCAACCTATGACCAAGACACTCCTGACCGTTGGTACAATGTTGCTAGAGCCGTTGGTGGGACAACACCAGATGAAGCTAAGAGACAATATGACCTTCTCGTGCGTGACATCGAAAGCATTGAGAATGGGCACGTACCATTCCCTGACTACAAAACTACTGGAGGCAACACCAAAGGCAGGCTGCGTGATGAGGAGAAGAGGTATACACATATTGCTACATTCTTTTTAATACTAAATTACAACTAATCAACTTTGGTTATCCATATATAATAAACCCACTTATGTTTCAATTTAAGATAGTTTTATGGACAAAACATAAAAAGGGGCTTGTCTGTTTCAGCATAAAGCTTTCCACTTTACAAAGATTCCCTGACTTGTCTCTAAATCTGCCAAGTGTTTTCTTCTCAGACTTTGTTACAACCAAAATAAAAATCCCCTACAAAAATATGCCTAGAATCATTCCTTATTACTTTCTTTCTTCTCAGTATTATGGTATCTAATATTAAGTGATTCCCACAAGAAACTTCCAGAAACAAAACTAAGCCCAACCTCATCAAGAAACTAATTTTAATGATTTTCTCTTGTATTCTAAGCTATTCCTTTGACATGCAAATAAACAAAATGAATGAACAAAGATTTTATTCTTTTTAACATGATTTTTGCAGGATGAGAAGCATGAAGCTGCAGTGAAAGTAGAAAGCTAACTGCGTATGATGGTCAAAAATAAAAAGAGAATCATGAAGATCACTTTCTTCTGAGTGTTTCAACAAAGTCTGACGAATTAAATACTTGTATTGCTATTTTCACATGTTTTATCCTCCAAGCTTAGAAGCTAATATCGAGGAGGAAAAAAAAAAAAATCCCTCGAATCCACAAAAAAAACCAGTTGACCAATCTGTATTTAGGGTTCTTCGTAACGGAAAAATCCAATTGTATGAATTAGAATCATCAGTTATAATGTTGATCATATAGTAAAAATTGCTTTTATTATTATTTTTATGGCAGAAACGAATAATAAAGGTCACGGATTGAGAAGAAGCCACATCGAGAAAATATCCTCGAAAGCAACGAATCAACCAACCAATCAGTGATCTAATGGTTCTTTCTTCATAATGGAATAATAATCCAAAGTCATAGCCAATTAAAATATTACGGAGAATCCAATAATGGAAAGGATATACGAACCGGACAAGAAGTAACTCTCGAAAATTACAAATCAACCAGCCAATCTCAATTTAGGGTTCTTCGAAATGTGGTAAAAAAATAAATCAACTTTGGTATTATTCTATTAAAATGGATGATAATTGGTGATAACTGTTGGGTCACGAGACGAGAGGAACTCACCTCGAAAAATCTGCTGTGCTGATCGAATTGAAATTTGAGAATTTCGTAAAATTTCAATGAAACAGTTCTCGTTTTTGTATTGCAAGAAAACAAAAAAGGCGGGAAATATGATGATTGTGTAAAGAGTACGTCACGTGCAAACTAAAGCGGACAGATATATACGGTGCCGTACGTATACGAATTTGTGCCCACGTACGATATACTGATGTCTGCGTATCTTTACGGTCTGCATGTTGGTAGAATAGAGAGAACTTGCAACTTTTTTTTTAATAAACAATTTTACTATTGAAAAATTTTGGTTTATATAGTTTGATAGTCTTTTAGAACCAGATTTTGATAATACTTCTTGTGGGTAAATAAATCTTTTCACACACAAGTAAATATTTTCTCCATATATTTGTGCGCTTTATATAACTGTAAATCTCACATATTGTAAGTAATTTTAACTAAGTAGTATTTATCAAGATTTAGAGATCTAAACGAAAGATTGATCCTAATTCCCAAATTTTTACGCCAACATCACAAAAGCTTTAGGAAATACTATAAACTAGGTGATCGTCCCGCATCGTGTGCGGACTATAAAATATTTTATATATTAAATATATGATTAATATTATATATTAAATATGTTTTATTTGTATATGATTAATATTATATATTAAATATGCTTTATTTGTATATGATTACTAATGTATTAATAATAATATTATATAAACATTTAATAATTAAAAATAATAATAAATCAAATGAAAAATGTTATAGATTTTAATAGAAATTGAAGAAAAAAATATTAACCCGATTTTTAAAATACTCCAGTAGATAAAAAATATAAATATGATAAATAAATAATCTGAAAATAATAAAAAATATAAATATGATCCTAATTCCCAAATTTTTACGCCAACATCACAAAAGCTTTAGGAAATACTATAAACTAGGTGATCGTCCCGCACCGTGTGCGGACTATAAAATATTTTATATATTAAATATATGATTAATATTATATATTAAATATGTTTTATTTGTATATGATTACTAATGTATTAATAATAATATTATATAAACATTTAATAATTAAAAATAATAATAAATCAAATGAAAAATGTTATAGTTTTTAATAGAAATTGAAGAAAAAAATATTAATCCGATTTTTAAAATACTCCAGTAGATAAAAAATATAAATATGATAAATAAATAATCTGAAAATATGAAAATATTATTTAATTTTTATGGTTGTAATATTTAAGTATTGATTAATTTCTTATACATATGTAAGCATTTTGTTTTTATACATATACAGTTTTAGCGTTTAACAACAATCACACAAATATTTCATATCATTTTTTGTCTATATAAAACTTATTATGTAAGCGTTACGTTTTTATACATATATAATTTTAGTGTTTAACAACAATCACACAATCGTTTCATATTGTTTTGTGTCTTTTGAAAACTTTTTTTTCTAACGTTTAGAGTAACATATAATTATAAATGTAAATGTTATATTAAATAATAATTAATTTTTTTATAATATGTTTTGAATAATATCTATATTATATTTATTTTTCTCTTTGCACAATATAATCTTGTCAATATATATATCTAAACGTATACATTTTTTCTTGAACTATTGCTAAGTAAACCAAAATAGGTTTTACCAAGAAGGTAGATGGTTGGTCCGCACATTAGTGCGTACCAACCACCTCACCGCTCTTAGGACATATAGAGATTTTTTTAGTAAATACAAATTGACTAATAACTAAAATTAAAATTGGACTGAAATCAAGGGGTTAAGAAAATGTATGCACGACAAATTTGCATGCGACTTTGATTTTTGAACAATTAATATTTATATCTACCTGCATATTTGTGAAAAAATTGAAGTATGGATTTTATGTGTTAAAAGAAAATAACAATATATATGTTTTGAAGTATATATTTTTATAATGTATGATTGATTTTTTTATAAAAAATATTTATATTATGCATGTAGGTATGATTTATAAATAAGTGAATTGTAATATTTAGGTGTTGGTTAGTTTTTCAGAAATTTTCCGCAAACATTATGATTTTACACAACACAGGTTTTTGGCGTTTAACTACAATCACGAAAACCGTTTCTAACGTTTTGTATTTAATAAAAATTTCTTATTTTTCAATATTTTGTGATATATGGTTTCTCAATCAAAACTATATAAAGATTTATTATAAAATTTGTGAATTCTTGTTTTATAAAATTCTCCGGTAGCGCTCCACTCACCTCTTTGTCAAATTTTATATGTAATTACAGCGTTTAAACCAGCCAGATCCTAAACTTATATGTGTATGGTTGAAAGTGTAAAATAATATATTTATTATTTAATTGTAATATTTAACTGTATTTTTCTATTTTTTCTCTAAATTATAGGTGGAGTTGTCCCAAAAGTATTTTTATTTTAATGGAAAAAGACAGATTGTTACTTTTTTCTCTAATTATAGAATCATTATTTTTTCTTTAAATTAGAAGATTTAAAAGAAATGTGGGTAGAGGTATTTTAAACCAAAAGGCATAACCTGAGATTTTTACAGAAAATTAAAGTCATAAAAATTCATTTTTACTTTTACTTTTACTTCTACTTCTTATTCATATATTTATTTATATCAAATAAAATTTATAATAAATATAAAATCTGGTTGGTCTGTACGCATGTATTCATTATAAAATTTGATCCACACATGCGTTTATTATAAAATTTATTTCTTAATATTTTCAAAGAACTACGTAAATAACGTTTGAAAGTGTTACGGAAAAACAAAACTATAGAGATATTTTTTTTACTTCTACTTCTTATTCATATTTTTTATTATTATTTACAATTTATTTTTTTATCCTGTTATATTGCGTTTTATTTCTGATCTTAAATTCTCGATCTACAATGAGACTGTATATATGAGTAGGACTATGATATAAACTTTTAATTTATTTAAAAAAAGGATAAGAGATAAAATGAAATGGTAATGTAAGGCAAGCTATACAAATTCAAGAATATAATAAAATAAAATGTTAAAAATTATATACAAATAATAATATATCATACTCCCAACATTGTTAATATATAGCGTATATACTATCTTATCGAATAATCTATTATTATTTTCTATTTAAAAATTTAAAATATATATTGGTTGTAAAAGTTTTGTAATCATATTTTATGCAATATATTATGAATATATGTAAACAAAAATTGAAATCATAGTAACTATTATTTTCTGTTTATTTAAATTTATTATATTTAGTGTTATAACCTAGTGTATTTATGTTATAATTTTATAATTTATTTATTTATAACTCAACCAATCAAAAAATTTCGTTTATTTTAGGAAATTTGCAATATCACATTGCCATGTCACAATTCCATATCACCATTAATTTACACTAACTTTTGCTAAGGTGATGACACATCAGATTTTTTCATTAAACCTGCTTCTCAAATCATAGTTAAGATGTTTTTGGAAGCCCAACTTTTAGAAGAAACAAATTTGAGAACAAACCAATATGTTTTTTTTTTTATGTTAAAAGAACTAAGAAATCAATTTAAAAGCAACCCTTTGAATCCTTTTTCTGTATTTTAATGAGTAGACAATTTTAGAAATGAAAAATAGATTGAAGAAGTTATATATTCTTCAATATTTTGGACAGCTTTTGAGATATGAAATAATGAGATCTAACATAATAAATATCGAATATGAAACCTTTAAAAACATCTCAAGATTTCTAATGTATGATTCATTAAACATACAAAAATTCAAATCATTTGTTAATCGGTCAAATAATGTTACAGCTGTTCAAGACACATTCATTAATCAAATGATACCGTTGACTAATTGTTAGATTCTTTAATTTTAATAATATTTATTATTACGGATATTATTAATACTTAAGGAATTATATAACTAACTGAAACATAAGAACGAAACATGAGTATTAATTATAAGATTGTTAGTTATGGTATTTTTGTTCCATAAAATTGTAGGAATAAACCTAATATCAAAGTAGCATTTCGCATAAGTAACAATTTTAGTTTTAGTTTTCTACAGTGTTGTTGGAGGACCAGCGATTCAGGAGCATTGTTGCTTTAGCAGAGGAGGAAACACTGGAATGAACAGAAGTTTTGGTATGCAGTTGGCTTCGACTTCTAGAAAAGCTTTACAACAAGCAGGACCTAGGTTGCCAAATTTGCCGGTTAGTATAGATTGAGAGATCTCTGCAAAGCATCCTGGAATATTCATCAATGTTGACAAACATTTGGTGATGTCGGGCATTCCTGGCAGCTGTTGGAATGGAAATAGAAATAGAGATGGGGTTGGAAATTGTGGTTGCTGAGCATTCACGGAAACTGAAATGCACATAACCAATAGAAGAAAAAATACACTTTTGATCGACATGATAAATATGTTGGAGACTATTGAAATAGGGAGGAATTCAACTAATACGAATTTTATTAAGTATGTTTTCACTTCATGAAATAAAAATATAAGCTTTCTTATAGGAGACAAAACTGAATTAGCCATATTAATTGGAATATAGTTTTAATAGCCAAGTGTATATGAGTTACAATTTTACTCAATTGCTGTTTTAAATTTGCAAACTAATGAACATTTAAAAATAGTATATAACCTTTGATCATGCATTGATAAAACACATTGAAGGGG